ATTATGTTAAGTGAAATAAGCCAGAAAGAGAAAGACAAACAGGGCATGATTTCACTCATATGTGGAAGATAAACCAACACCCAGACAGATAGAACTGTTTGGTGGGTACCAGGGGCTAGAGGAGGTGGGGGGTGAGCATAAGGGGTGGAGGGATGCACTTATATGGTGACTGATAAACAATAATGTACAACAAAAATTTCACACACACAAAAAAAAATTACCACATGATCCAGCATTTCTGAGTATATACCCAAAAGAAGAGAAAGCAGGGACTTCAACAGATATTTGTACACCCATGTTCATGGCAGCATTATTCACGATAACCAAACAGTGCTAACCACCCAAAAACCAATAAATGAATCAAGAAAATGTGAGAAGTACATACAACAGAATATTATTCAGCCTTAAAAACACTACTTCTGACACGTTACAACACGGACGAACCTTGAAAACACTATGCTAAGTGAAATAAGCCAGACACAGAAAGACAAATATTGCATGATTCCACTTATATGAGGTACCTGGAACAGTAAAATTCATAGAGACAGAAAGGAGAACAGTGGTTACCAGGGACTAGCAGTAAGGGGAGAATGGGGAGTCACTATTTAATGGGGACAGTTTCAGTTTGGGATAATTAAAAAGTTCTGGAGATGGACAGTGTTGATGGTTGCACAATAATGTGAATGCACTTAATGCCAGTGGACTGTACACTTACAAATGGCTAAAATAAATTTTTTTTTTTTTGAGAGGAAGATCAGCCCTGAGCTAACATCCGTGCTAATCCTCCTCTTTTTGCTGAGGAAGACCGGCTCTGAGCTAACATCTATTGCCAATCCTCCTCCTTTTTTTTTTCCAAAAGCCCCAGTAGATAGTTGTATGTCATAGCTGCACATCCTTCTAGTTGCTGTATGTGGGACGCAGCCTCAGCATGGCCGGAGAAGCGGTGCGTCGGTGCGCGCCCAGGATCTGAACCCGGGCCGCCAGCAGCAGAGCATGCGCACTTAACCGCTAAGCCACGGGACCGGCCCTAAAATAAACTTTATGTTATGTATATTTTACCACAATTAACAAAATATATATATGTTAAAGTTGGGTGATGTAGGGCTTAGACACAAATTAAAGCCAGTTAAGGACATGGAGAGTGATGGGAAGATGGTATTTTAAACCACATGGTCAGAGAAGGCCTCGCGTGAAATGACTTCTGAGCAGAGACATGAATGAGTAAGAAAGAGAGGTCGGAAGTTTATGGGACAGCACCACTCCAGCTAGAGAAAAGAATGGAAAAGGTCTGGATGCAGAAGCATAACTGTCATCTCTGAGGAACAAGTGAGGCTGGCAGAGACAAATGGAGGGGGAGATACAGGAGAAAAATGTAGGCTGAATGGTAAAGCTAGGTGACTGAGCAGACATAGGGCCTTCCAGGCCCCTTAAATACTCTGGATTTTACTGAGTCAAATGGGAAGCCAGCAGATGGTTTGAAGCAGAGGGGTGACATGATATGACTGATGTTTTCAAAGGGTCTCTCTGGTTGCTGTGTGGAGAAGAGATTATCCAGAACAGAGGCAGAATAATGAGGCTGTTACCTACAAAGACTTCAGCTGCCCAGTTCTCACCTGAGTGACTACCTCGTTGAGCCTGAATCTCCTTCACTGAAAGCTTTTCCTCTCTCTCCAACTGGGATATCATATCTGGTTTGGAGGACTGATGCCCTGTGAAAAGATTTAAATGAAAACATTAAAGACAAAAAGTACTGAGAAACTCTGGTTCCAATCCCATAATGTAAGGCTCTGCCCCTCGCCCACAGCACCGTTTATCAAACATTGTTTATCATGACCCATTGTAAGAAATACATTTAGTATCATTAGAAATACATTACTATCACTGCAATATTGTGATCCCTAAGAAATGTATCTGGTCTTCATCCACAGTTCCTGGCTCACAGGTCCCAGAACCCTTGGAATTTTCTAAGTGTTGAGAGTGATCCAGGTGTCTCTTATTCGTTAATGAAGGTGACTTCTGGACCCCACCCAAGGGTGAGAGCTGGCTGCCTGGAGAACCAGCCACGTGAACAGAGGATTGGAACTTTCAATCCAACCTCAATTTCTGGGGAGGGAAGAGGGACTTGAGGTTGAATCAACTGCCAATGGCCAATGACTTAATCAATCATGACTACATAATGAAGCCTCCATAAAAACCCAAAAGGAGGGGCTGGCCCGGTGGCACAAGCAGTTAAGTGCACGTGCTCTGCTGCAGTGGCCCGGGGTTCAGATCCCGGGCGCGCACCAACGCACCACTTGTCAGGCCATGCTGTGGTGGCGTCCCATATAAAGTGGAGGAAGATGGGCACAGATGTTAGCTCAGGGCCAATCTTCCTCAGCAAAAAGAGGAGGACTGGCATGGATGTTAGCTCAGGGCTGATCTTCCTCTCCAAAAAAATACAACACCCAAAAGGACAGCTCATTGGTCCTTCTTTGGAGAGCTTCCACACTGGGAAATCAGAACACTTCCTTGTGCCACTGTGCCAGGCCCCAAGCTCCACGAGGACAGAAGCTCCTTTGTTTAGGGCCTCGTCCTATGTATCTCTTTATCTGGCTGCTGACTGGATCCTTTAATATCCTTTGTAATAAATCAGTAATCACAGGAGTAAACCGGTTTCCTTGGGTTCTGTGAGCCATTTGAGGAGAGGGTTGTGGGAACCTCTGATTTATAGCCAATCGGTAAGAACCTGGACTTGTGCTTGGCATCCTGAGTTGGAGGGGGTCCTTGGAACCTCCAGTTTCTGGCTGGTCGGTCAGAGGCACAGGTAACAACCTGGGTTGCGACCGATATCTGAAGTGGATGGCAGTCTTCTGGGACAGAGCCCTCTACCTGTGGAACCTATCTCCAGGTAGACAGTATCAGAACTGAACTGAATTCTCAGACACCCTGCTGGCGCCTGAGAACCGCTTGTTGGTGCGGGGAAGCCTCCACACGCACACGTTGGAATTGGGTCCAGGAACCCCTCTGCAACCATATAAATTATTGAAATAACAGATTAAATAACCTGTTTCTAACCAAAGTCTGTTTTCATCACATCCTTTCCAGAGTCTGACATCCTTAGTGTGAACAATAGTTACAGCTATGATGTGCACCATTCTTGCTAAGGAGCTCTGATACTGTTACTATACTCTATATTATTATAAGAATGTTGATGCAACTTACTAAATTAATTGCAAGACCCACCAATGGATCATGATCCACAAGTTTAAAAAATATAAATGAAATAAGCCAGGTGAAGCCAACGCAACTGTTCATTTATAGTTCATTTGGAAAAGATAACATAACAAGACTAGAAACATCTTGTCTTTATGAGACATCATCTATGTCTCCAAAGGAACTGGAAAACTCTGATCCTTAAGGAGGCCTGAAGCCTTGAACTAGTGGGCAGAGGCCAGGGGTGCTATTAACATCCCAAAATGCACAGGACAGTCCCCACAACAAAGAATTCTCTGTCCCAAAATGTCACTAGTGCCGAGGCTGAGAAACCCTGCTTGAGGATGAGTGATGGTGATTCTGTCCTCACCCACAGAGACCAGATTCCTGAAGTTCTCCAGCATCACGTCTCGGTACAGCTGCCTCTGGGTAGGGTCCAGCAGCCCCAGCTCCTCCTCACTGAAGGTCACAGCCACGTCCTTGAACGTCAGTGCCTCCTACAACACCAAACACACTCCACCTCAATCTTACACCCAATGGCCACTGGGAGAAGAGCAGCACTGAGAAGGTGAGGGAGACACGTGGGAAGCTATTCTAGATTCTGAGGAACCTAAACAACTCTTTCTAGTAGTTCTCACCTTCCCCTTCCACCATCACACCAAAACGCTGGGGGGGTGAAGGGAGAGGGAAGGAACAAAAGGAAAAGAAAAATACCTTGCGTACATGTAACATGGTGCCTTGTATATAGTTGAGTCTCTAGAACTGTCACTGTTAAATCATGGCACACACACGTTATACAATTTGACTGAGAGTGCCAAATTTTGTAAGAAATTTTCAGTTAATTTAGTCCCAACAGTATCTAATAGTGCCTATCTCCTTCTGTCACTGGGGAGAACCACTATTTCGTCAATGCCAGCCAACCTAACAGGCCTTCAGTGCCCCTCCAGAGCAGGCATGCAGTTCATTCTCTGTTCTCGGGAACACGCCCTATCTGTCAACTGCAGCAGCATCCAGCATCACGGTTAAGAGCACGGGCTCTGGAGACTGCGTGCCTCAGTTCACCCTCTAAGGCCCTGTCCATCACGAGCTTTGTGACCTTGGACAAGTCACCTAACTTCTCCATATGTCAATTCCTCATCTGTATGACAGTACTACCTCATAGGGTACTTGAAGGGATTAAATGAGACTGCATAAAGGACTTAGGATAGTATCTGACACGTATCAAGTACTTAAAAAATGTCAGCCGTCACTATTATTGTCACTATTCCTGGGTGCATGGTATTCCATAAAAGTGATGATCTAATATATTTAACCATTCTAAATAATTAAATAACACAATAATTTTAAAAATTTAAATTTTTAATAATGTCGCAAAAAACATATTTTTACATGGGTCTCAGCCAACATTTCTGGTTGTTTCCTTAGGATAAGTCTCAAGAAGTAGCAATTGCACTGTCAAAAAATATGCACCTTGCAGCCGGCCCGGTGGCGCAAGCGGTTACGTGCGCACGCTCCGCTGCGGCAGCCTGGGGTTCGCCGGTTCGGATCCCAGGCGTTCACCGACGCACTGCTTGTCACGCCATGCTGTGGCGGTGTCCCATATCAAGTAGAGGAAGATGGGCATTGATGTTAGCCCAGGGCCAGTCTTCCTCAGCAAAAAAAGAGGAGGATTGGCAGATGTTAGCTCAGGGCTGATTTTCCTCAAAAAAAAAAAAAAATGGACCTTTATTTTGCTAGTAAATTGGCAATTTTCCCAATTAACTCTTCCTGTAAGAGATTAGAAGTGTCCCTGATTCTCCATACTCTGGCCAAAACTGGACATTATCTTATTTTTTAAATCTTGGGCAATTGGGTAAGTGATAAAAACAGCTTTTTAAAAAATTTCCATTTACTTAACTTTTTAAAAAGATCGTCTTTCGATATATATTTTTCACATATTGCCTGTTTATTTCCTTTGCTCATAATCCTACTGGGGTACCTTTTGCATCAATAAGATTCCTATTGAGAATATCAAGCCTTTCTCTAGCATGTATAAATTCCCACCCTCACCCCTACTCCTGTTTCCTACTTGTCTCATAACTTTCTGTATGGTGTTTTTCTGTATGGAAATAAAAATTATTCATCTCAAGACTCTGCTCATCTCTACATTTGTTTTGCCTAGAGTTCTGAGCAGTTATGTACTAAAAATCCGTTGACACATCTGGCAAAGAATAGACAGGCATTAAGAAAAGGAACTAGGTGGGGGCTGGCCCCGTGGCTTAGCGGTTAAGTGCGCACGCTC